GTGAACTCCTCGAGCCAATTACTCTGCAACACCTAGCATGGTGTCTGGTGCAAATGGTAAGCACTAAATCATTCTGTGTTCAATCTGAATTTTAGATGCAAACTGGCAGGCAGCAACTGTGTGCAAATGAATTTTTTGCTTTTCCTGTCCATCCAAGCAGACAGATTATTGGAAGCCTCGCCCTCCTGGAGGTCTGCAGTGTCAGAGCCACCCTCCCAGGCCCATCTGCGCCCACACAACGAAAAACCGAAGTTCTTATCCACTCAGCTAGATAGCAAACACGGAACATGATTTTAAAGATGCATGCTCAAAATTCTCTTAATACAAAAACCATGAGGCTAGAACTTTCTGCGTGTTTCTGTTACTCCATGTACCTCAGGACCTTGCAGTGTTTTAGATTCATTTTCAGTCAATTTTGACTTTCTGAATTTTTTAGAATGAATTTTCATGGTATAAAGTGAGGGTCCCAGCACATAGTGCTAGCACAGTGCCTGGCAAATAGCAAGGATTTAATACATTTTTGTGGAATGAACAAATAAGTGCATGAATGATCAAATGAGGTGATCCCCAAATAGTAATGAGAGAGTCAAAATGAGAAAAATTTACACGGTATAGGTGGAGACTGATCCAAGATATTATCCATGAAACGTTTGGGAAAGTTTAGGAAAATCCAGATTTACCATAAAAGTAATTTGAATGTTGTTTAACTTAATTGGATTTTATTTAATACAGTAAATGTAACTGGAGTATCATAATTGGAATTTAGGAAAAAATCAAGTGATTTGTGTTCTCTCTGGGTTAAGGTAGGTTGGACAAAAGGGGAAATTTCTGTTGCCCTTACAAATTTGAGAATCAATCCCTGAACTGTATGTAGTCAGTGTTCTGTGACTTTAATTTTGTGAGTTTGTTTTGCTTGTTTTTGTTTTGCCTTGTTTTGCAAATAGCCTCCTGGCCTTCTAGCATTGCCCCCCCACCCCCACATCTCAGGCGTCACTCTCTCACCCCCCTGTTAAACTATAAAAAAATGAATAGAAACTCAAAATAGTCCAGCACCATTTGCTATTTTAAACAAATCCTGGCTGGATCTGCATGTGGCTAAGAACTCTGCACTACCAGCAGCCCCCTCTGGGTCCCCATCCCTGGGAGAGGCCATCAGGTGGACCCACTCTGTACGATATCACCGAGAACCCAGTAGCAGCAGACCATTTTGGAGAGCTTGGCGGGTTCTCGCTCACAAACTTGTTCTTGTCTAGTATTACTAAGCCATCTGAAACCATGAATGACACATTTCCAATCCATGTCTAAAGTTCTACTTTCACGGCCTCTGACTTTTAGGTCCTGGAAGTACAAGTATGGGATTCGTTCTAAATCATGAGGATGGTCCGATGAAATTGTTAACAGAATGGTTTGTTTCTGGTGGCTAACAACTTATTGGAAATAAGAATTAACATAATATGCTTTCTTTTACATGATTGATAGTGTTTCCAGCCACCGCCTCTGATCGACTCAGGCTATAATTTTGTGGCATTAATGAGAGGCTTTCCTTCTTTCCCCATGTAGGTCTCACTGCCATACACAAAACCAAAGTCCCCTAACTAGGAAGCTTCCATTCCACACCAGCAGACCCAACTTGATTTGTGGATTATACCACTAGAGCTCACTCAGCAAGTAACACATTAATCTTTTTTTTTTTTTACCAAGGCATTTTACCTTCCAATGTGAATTTCAGAACTTGTCTTGATTAATGCTGATGTGCTGAACACTGTTGCCATTAAGTCATAGATCTTGCAAAAAGCCACTTGGAATAATAATTCACATACCTCCTGGAGAAAAGTTTTTCAAAATTCTCAGTGCAATATTCTGATGGATTAATCTATGACATCCTGATGCTTCTTTCAAACAGTAGCTTTCCTTCTAAGAGTTCTTTTTTAGGATTTTTTTCCTATCATGTCAATTTAATGAAAGCGGTGTTCCTGCTTCAAAGCTGCATATGAACAACAGATATTGAAGAAGTTGTTCTCCATGCTAATTTTTAGTGTTTGAGGGCAATACCTCTAGTACCCCCAAACAAATTTTACTACTATCTTTTTACATTTAATGAAAAAATATCTAGAGAAGATGTAATATGTGTATCTGTGTGCTAGCCTTTTAAGCTAGTAATTATTTACCCATTTACCCTCAGCAACACTGAACTTTACAGAAGTGTATTTCCATAGGAGAAACAGTGATTCAAGATTCAAAGTATCCCCATCCTTTCTTGAACTAGGTCATGACATCTCTGTAAAAAAAACACATTCTCTATTAGAAGCGAGTCACAGTTATTAAACTATATCCTCATGGAGGCAGAAAGTTGATGGTAAATTACCCAGGAAAGAGTAAACTGATTTTAAATGCAACCACCGGGAATTTAATCAACAGTTAAATGGTGCCTTGATTTTTAAATTATGTAAAAGACACTTGCTGTATTTTCTACTGTGAGCACCTACCCCAACGTCTGCCATGCAGTTAGTGTTCAATGTCAACAGAATAGAAGTCTCAAGTTTTTAGTGAGAGGCTGGTGAGAAAGCCTTCTTCAACTCAACCACTAGGTGGCACACAGGGACCGTACTTCACACACTGAACCATCACAGACCCTACCTTTCATGGTGTAAATAAAGAGCTGCATTATTAATTTATGCTATCACGTCCACTCTACACCTAATATTTGTTTAACCAGCTCTTTCCTCTAATTCTCCTTAAACACTATTGATTAAAATCCTAAGTATATTCAGGTTTCATCCCTCCCCATTTTCCTACAACAATATTTTGTCACCTTTAAATAACAGACTAAGTACATTAAATAACACAGACCAAGTACCATGGTTACTAATAATGAATCCAGGATGTTGGAAAATTAACTAAAGGCAAAGAAGACTCTGATGTAAAAGTTATTTTCAAATTTGCTTTGCATTTTGTTGGAATTTTAATTGGTGGAATACCATTATCTTAAAAAAGTAATCTGGAAAATAAAACATGCATGGGAAACAAACAAAAGGAAATGAAAAGAAAACCAGCACTAGTGTTTTCTGGAAAAGGGAGTTATTTCCTGAAAAGGGATTCGTATTCATTTTTCCAGAAACGAAGTACAGTTCTACCTTTAGATTTAAAGGGTTCTTCAACTCTTCAGAAAATACCAGTCTTCTGCAACCAAGATGTTAAAAGGCAGGACTTTAGTAAACCATCTACTTATAAAGTATCTTTCTGCATATTCTGCCAAATGTATTTATCCTGGATGTGTTACTTGCTCCCAAAGGAAGGAAGAGGAAGTGAAACCACTAGGGATATAAAGAATTGATTCTTCTCTGTGAAAGTCTCTTTAGTACTTCTAAATTACAGTGTCAGTCATTCCTCTGAGAGACAGGGCCTGCTGACAATAAATAAATGGCTCACTTTATAAGAACATGATGGTCTTCTCTTTTTTGTTTCTCATAGAAAGCTCAGACCCCCAGGACACTTCTGGAACACTGGCCTCTGGGTACATTCTCCCTGGGGACCAGCGATCTTTTGAGGTTGTTGGTTTTCTCTCGCTTATTTAATTAAGTTTAAGCAAAATTACTTCTGCTTATCTAGTTTTCCCATTTTAAAAGCTGTTTCCAATTTTGTGAAGAGGTTACCAAAAATGTAACATCATTCTCTCAGCTTAAACAATTAAATTATTGAGAACAGATAGCCCCCAAATGACTAAAGACTAATAAATGCTCAATAGACCTCTGGCACACATTCTATTTTACTGAATGGAATTGAAAACTTCTTTGTTAGTAGGAGTAAATGAAACTGAAGTTAAACACTGATGTAAGAATTATCACACTAAAAGTTATTCAGAGAGAACTACTATGATACATTTCTGATAGAACAATGTTCCCATTTTATGATTCCATTGAAATATTGAAGTCACGGAAGTGTGTATAAAATTACTGCAATGTAGTACTCTGAAATAATCAAATAGAATGATTACCAGAAACTACATTTGTAATGAATAAATATTACATTTCACTTAGAAATTAATTCACAGGCTTTATTTCTTAAAAACCGTTAGCTTCCAAGATGCCAGCCAGTATGTTTGATTTTACGACATCACGTTGGAACATGTACAGGAACACTTTCCACCCTAAAAATTCCCAAATGTACTGGACACTCGGTGTGTTTTTCCAGTGATAAATGAAAATAAAATAACTTATTTTCAAAATAATAAACCATCTCATTTTGAACACAATAGTCAAATTCAGGGGAAGAAAACAACTTCATTTAAGCCCCAAAGTGTTCAGATTTGCCTAGAGTGGTGAACAGTCTCAACACGTAAATCCTTTAAGCAACTTTTAATTAGTAATCTTAACAACTATGACTTTAAAATATTTTTCAGCACCTTAAAATTAATTATCAAATCATTCAATGTATGAAGCACGTCATAACTCTATGATCTTAATTTCACAATTAACTGGAGCAGCAGGGACCAAAAATTGGTAACATCTCAAAGATTATCAATCTAACAGGTATTTCCTATGATTACAGTAACTTTCTTTTCCACACAAACCTATATATTCCCTAAAACAAAACTCTAAAATCTGGAATGGACATTCCCATTCCTCAGCATTTCCTTCAACCTAGACTATCATTTTTTTTTTTCATCTCAGGTGCTATGAAAACGCTTGTTGAAACACAGATGGAAAAGCCACTGCTTGGAAACCACGTGCCTACCAGATTTATAGTAATAGGAGGAAAAGCCAGGATAGTAGAGTTAATCCTTACCCCAATCTAGACTGAGCTTTTTTATTGCAATCCAGTATTTTATGTGACAATATGAGTCTTTAAAAAAAAATTGAGGTGTCATGTTAAACTCAAAAGAAAAAGAAAATAAGAAAATCTGTTTTAATGTATATATACATCATAATATGTATTGCTCTCTGAAATCTTCAAGGCACTAATGTTTGAGAGGAAGAGTGAAAATTTTATGGAAGTTTTACCTTGTCCTGAAATCCAGAAGTTCAGATGCTCTCAAGTCCTGCTGAGGTTGGAGCCTGGAGATCAAGTGAAGCTAGCGCTCTTTCTCCTCACCTTAAGTTTGTCTCTGGGCAAGTGTGTGTGTGTGTGTGTGTGTGCGCGCGCGCGCGCGTGTGTGTGCGCGCGCGCGTGTGTATGTGTGTGTGCGCGCGTCTGTGTGTGTGTGTGTGTGTGTGTATGCGCAGAATGTCTCTTTGTGGCGCTGGATGGCAGAGGTCCTGGTCCTGGGAAGGAGGCACTTTCTCACCAAGAGCAGAAGAAAAGCAAAGCGTCACCAGCAAAGTTCTCCTCCCAGATCCCCTAATTACAGCCTAACGTGCACTTCATGCAAACTTCAGGGAGGAAGGGAGGGGCAGCTCTGTGCCCAGATCTTGTGAAACAGCAGCTTCTTAGACGACTTTCCACTCTGCTCAGACCCCGGAGTAGCCCGCTCAGGGCTTGGGGAAAGCAGCTACAGCCACAAGCCCCCACCCACACTACACCTCCTGCAGCCTCACCACTCCAGGGTCTGTACAGAAAGGCTGGGGCAAGGGGTCGGGAGAATGAGCTGTGGGGCAGCGGTGTGAGGCAGAAACGCCAGGACAGTACATTTTTGCTTTGATTTTTAGCCTCTGTTAAAAGGAAAACCCAAAGGTAGGAGATGTCCTAGCTTTTCCGTCTCCCTTTCCCCAGTAGATCCAGGGTGACTAGGTAGAGAGGCAATTATGGCAACAGCAGACAAAGTTTCCTACCCTGGAGGTGCCCTTCCACCCAAATTGCAAGAAGTGTATTTTCTTGTTTATTGGACTCAATATCGATATTGGGTTTGAATCTCCGTTAACAGACAACTGCTATTGTATCCCTGGATGACAGAGCTCAAAGAACCTGGATTTATTTATAGAGTGAGGAATGCGAGGGGCAGACGAGATGGGTGGGGTTGGCTTATGGATCCATACCCAGGATTAGAACCAGATGGGCACAGGGCGCGCGCGGGTGCACACACACATAGACACACACACACACACACACACCCCAAAATAACCATGGGGGAAGATGCTGGGACACGCGGGAAAACGCCTCCTGAACAAATAGACGTTTATTTATAACTCCTGGGAGAGTATATAGGTCCATTGATTCCCGCCTTGAGTAACCAAGGGTTTTGGAGAGGAAATGGCTTCATATTTCAATAACAGAGACACCTTTGATGGAGCCTAGGAGGGGGAAAAAAAAAAAAAAAAGAAAGAAACACACCGCAGGAAGCCAACGGCTGTTGAAGCGGCCGGGAGGGAGCGGGGCTGGCCTGGGGATGAGGACAAGCAAACAAGCCCGAGGGGCCCCGAGCCAAGGAGCAGGCGGGAGACGCGGGCTGGCTTGCCTGAGAGCCGGGGGAGCAGGGCACCTCGGGCGCGGGGCGTTGGGAGACGTCCAGTGGCTCGCGGCAGCTCTCCTGTTCCCGCCCGAGGACCTGGGGGCGGGGGGGGGGGCGGCGCAGGCAGGACTACAGGCTCCTCACGACCAGCGCCTCAGCTTCACGGGGGCGCTGCTGGGGCAGGGGGGTCGGGGGGACGGGCAGAGGGTCTGGCGGGCCAGGGGATGATGAGCCGAGGGCTTGGTGCGGCCGGGGACTTGTGGGCAGAAAAGCCAATGGAGTAGGGGCGTCCGTGGGACAGAGGCGCAGGTGAGACGCGGGGACCAGAGAGGCGGGGACGTGCGTAGGGCAGGTGACGCGTGGGGCAGATGAGAGCGCTGGGCGGGGGGACAGGTAGGACGGGGGCGCGGGCAGGGCAGGGCGCGAGATCTGAGCTGTGCCCTAGGCGGCGAGAGGCGCTATTGTCTCAGAGATAAAGCCTAAGCCTAAACCCCTGCAGTGGCTTCCCCTTTGGAGGCGGGAAAGAGGTCTTAAAAAAAAAAAAAATTCTTCCCTGCTTTTCCTTGACGTATTTCACTGGTTCTTGCCCCCAGATTCGTTGTCCTTGCCATTCCGGTGTGTGGTAAATTAACACGTGTCTCTTGGAAAGATTTTGTTATGAAAACACACCCAATACCCACAAATCCTCACTAAATGAAGAGTTATATTCAAACTGAAAGAATTAAGAATGAATCCTCCAACGGTCAATTCAACACCTTTCTTGTACAGTCATTCCAAAACATGGGCAAGACGCCTCTTTAGTCATTTTTTCTATTTATCCCCCACAGAAAACAAGCCACTAAAGGTTTTGCAAAATTCTGTAGTTAATTTAATGGCTATTTGAGACAGCTGTTATACTGTAGGCCCCCACATTAACTGCCAACAAAAATAAGACACATCTCTGCTTTTCAACTATAAGAAGAGCGTTTATGCTATTTCTTGTAAATGTTCAGGATGATACGAATTTTGAGGAACATAAAGGAATTAGGGTTAAAAACAAATATCCTACAATTTTTATATCAAAGCTTCATCAAGATGGTGAGGCTGGTGGTATGTGGTTATGAAATCATAAAGATAGGTTAAACACTAATCTTGTTCTTTCCACTTTAAAAACCTAATTTCTGGGGGTGGCCTGGGGAGCATATCAGATCAGCTGGCCCATGGATGGTACTTGTTCCCTTTATTCCAGCAGGGCATTAAGAGAATGTACTGCATTCTCTTCAGAAATTGTTGGCCACTCAAGACATCTGTTTGGCAATTCTGTTGGACCACCGTGAGTTACTCTAGAATTTTTGTTTGTTTCAATTTCAGGCATAACCCCACCAATTGAGATAAGCTTTCCAGAAATAATGACAGCTACTTACCACTGATGTTCCAGACGAGAGTTATCTTGTCAGTTTTTTCCTACCTCTATTCCCCAGCTCCCTTTCCCAAGTACCTAGTTACTAGTTTTTGTTAAAAGATCTCTAGTATTTTTAATCACAAGTACTTAACCTACCAATAGTGTGTGTTTTTAAGTGTTATTTAGACTTAATTTAATTGACATGATCTACATTTCCATTCATTTTCATTTTTTTTAAAGATTTTATTTATTTATTTATTTGTCAGAGAGAGAGAGAGAGAGAGAATGAGCACAAGCAGGGGGAGCGGGAGAGGGAGAAGCAGGCTTCCCGCCCAGCAGGGAGCCCGATGTGGGGCTCGATCCCAGGACCCTGGGATCACCGCCTGAGCCGAAGGCAGACGCTTAACCGACTGAGCCACCCAGGTGCCCCTCATTTTTAGTTTCATATGCTTTAGTAATTATTTAAAGTTTACAGTGGAATCAGCTTTAAGAGTCTTAAAATTTTTTTATGTTTAAATTAATTAATGTTCACATAAATAATACTTTATAGAGGTAGACATTACTTTGATCAGTTGTTAAAATTATGCATTATAATTATACAATTATTACAATAATATGTATATTATTAAGCTTTGGTTAAAAAAAATCAAATCAAGTAACTAAATAAATACAAATATATTTCATGACCAAATATTTTACAAGGGTATAAGTTGTAAAAAAAATTAGAAGACCCAAATATCTGTATTCTGTATATGAAGAGTCCCTCTAATTATTAATATTAATAATGCATGTGGACACGCATGTCTTTCATGGCATATGAGGTATTTTTGGTTTTGTTTTGGGGAAGGCAGGGTGACCAGCTTTTTTAAGTTTTAAGAAAAACCAAATATTTTCTTTAATATTAATTTTTAAAATGACTTACATGCTTAAAATGTATGTCAGGTTCTACATTAAGTTACCTCGCTAGTGCTAGAGCTACAAAACCTAAAAATCAAAGTTGAAAATCAAGGCCAGTGCAAGGAAAATTGCACACAAATTTAGAGCTAATGGATATCTGTATATCTATATATCAGCACATTTTGATAGCATAATGCAAAAATATTTTTTAAGAATGAAAATGAGGTCAGGATGGTGTTATAAAATGTGACTTTCCATTCTTTTGCTAATCGTAAAAAAACTTGAGTAATCAGGTTGAACCAGGTACAATGGAATTTTCAGCCATTTTTGACCCATCAAAAAAAGTCAATTTCATCTGACTTAACCTAATACAAACCTAAATATGTGCATAGTATAAACATAGCAGAAACATTTTCAAAATTTAAGAAGTATCAATCTAAAATATCATGAATCTTTAATATGTGGTACATTTGCAGGCAGAATGGCATTTCTCCTGGCATATTATACCTCTAATGAAATATAGATTGGTATTCAAATGGTGATTATCTAAATTCATCTGCTCTTCAAACTCTGAAAGAGGTTGCTCTATTATCCACTGAATTCCAAAGATCTCCTACTCTGGGAGTTCATGTTTGCTGGAATTTTCGCCTCAGGCTAATATTATACCTGGTTGAACATCTGTGAGGATAAAGGTGCAACTATGTGCACTTTGCAGTACTGGGGGAGCAAAGCCGTTTGACCTTTCCTGTCCGAGGGCTCAGAACGTCATTAAACATCCCTTGGGATTGCGGGCATAACCATGAGAAAGACATCATTTGTAATTAAGTCCTTCCCACTGGCTATATTCCTGTTGAACTCCATGATTAAAATACAAATTCAATATTCGAAATGGTCGCAAAGCATTTGATAAAAGGTTATTTTGCTTTTAATGCAATGGGGGAAGGATAACTTTCCAAGGGCCCACTTTTTGTGCTCTCACTCTCAGAAAGTGTCCTGCAGAGAGATTCTTCAAAAGGGCAAACGAAATAATTAGGCAATAAATTGTTCAAATGTTAAGAGCAGAGCTGTTCCAGAAGCTAGTGAGGCTGTATGAATATCCTATCACGTGATAAACATCTTGAGAAGTAAGCGCCAACATGTTCCCCTGCTTGCCTGTTGGACTGGTTTTGGTTTCATAGCACCTTTCTTGTAACCTATTCTCTCAGTGTGTTTCTTTTGTCCAGAACGCCCCAATCTTTTCTTCATTTTTTTCCCATAAATTGCTATTTCATTATCAACCAGATTCTACTCATTTTGCAGTGAGGCCCAGATTCAATCGCAGGACCTTTGTCATGTTGTCTTTGATTGTCCTAATGTCAGGAAACTTCTTCTTCCTTCACAGTCCCGTTACTGTTAAGATCACCCACTTGCCACTTGTATGCTGCCTTG